GTAACAACCGTCGAACTGGGATATAAATTTAAAGTGATAAAAATGAAGGGAAAAATTTTGAAATATTGTAAATCTGCAGGAAAAATGTATAAAAAAAGTGACAACTTTTGGTAAACAAGTTTTTCAAAAGGATCACGGAGTAGGTCAAAATTTTGTAATTTACAATTAAGACTCTAAATAATGTCTGAAGTCATATCTTCTGTAAAATGACACAAAAACAGAAAAATTCTACACGTTCAAATTAAAGAAATGAGAAATTTTTCATCATTTCCAGGGGTGTGCAATTAGCGTCACCCGACGCCCGGGGCTACCATTTTTTGGGGTCGGGCTAGTAGTTTTCTGCATGGAGGTAGCCCCTTGGGCTAGTAAAAATTAAAACTACCAGTGTAATACATGAAAACCACTATCGGAATTTTCACTCATTTTTTGCTATTAAATTCCCAACCATTGAAAAATTTCCAGGGAGCATGCTCTTTTTGTTTGTAAATCTCCATACTTTTATCCATTTTGCAGTACTACCTGACTTATTACTTCCAAAAAAACGATTGTTTTTTTTTCTAATCCGAATTTCCTCCATTCCTCTCTTTACAGTAAATACATGCAGATATCTCATTAAATTATTAACGATCACTCAATCAACTGAAAGATTAGTGTTATGTGGTTTATATAAAATATATTTCCAGTGTATTTAATGATTTAAGATGAAAAAAGATTTTCACTTCATTTTATAATGATCGAGCTAGTGCAAAGATCAGAAAAAGGGAAGATAATTTATTTAAATTCATTTTTATTTTCTATCATAATTATTACTTTATACATGATTCAATTTTACTAGTTAGAATTAAACTTTAATTTTAAAAAGAGTGACATTAAAATCCTGACTTTTTCAACAATTAACCTTTTTTTTTTTCAATATGTACTCCCCCCTCCCACATTAGGGCTAGTAACTTTTTTACTTGTAACTTTATTCCTGTTATTTAGCCCGTGGGCTAGTGCTTATTTTTTTTAATTGCACACCCCTGGTTTCTGATTCCAAATTATGACTTTATATTTTCTTTGTTGAAAAGAAATCAGTTTCAGTAGATAGGTAGTCCTCATTGAAAAAGGCAAAAAAGATGATGTAGAACGGAGCAGCTGTTAACCATACAATTTTGTGTTGTACTCTGGAAAACTCCAGAAAAAACTCTGAAAATGCCGGAGAAAGTAGGAAATATTAGTCATTCCACGATGTTAAGTACTCGTGTAAAATAAGGAATTAGTAAGAAAATCTTTAATACTGGACTCAAGCAGTCAAACTTGGTATGATTATACATGTAATTAGCCCTTTACCAAAATTACCACATCAAATCTATTGTCCAACTGTCCACTGTGGGTTTAATATTCTTGCAATTTGATGTCTAAGAGTCATTCCACAATGTTAAGTACATGCGTACAATAATCTACAGTAATATATTAGTAAGAAAATTAAGGACATTGGCAAGTCAGGGTTTTCCGGAGAAAAAAGGTTTAATACATGGGTTTTTTCACTTATAGGATAGTGATTGAGAGTGATCTTCCATGTAGAATTCTCTAAGCGGTGGAAACCAATAAAGCATATGTTACAGAGGTATAAACAAAAGCACGTGTACTTCCTTCAATGGGTAGAATCATCTATAAAGCAAGAAAGAAAAGTAGTAATGGCTTTGTTGTGCATTGTATTCAGGGACAAAGAGACAATAGATCGTCATTTACCATAGTTATGCTCAGTATGCTGGGAAGGGCAAAAAAGGTAGGCCGACTGAGAACAGTTCTTAGGTCGTGTGAAGGAAGCAGCATTTAGTAACTACGAATATAAAATAAAAATAAAACCATGCCAATATTTTTATGACAATGTGTTTCAATCAATTCAGTCAATTACATGATAAAAACAATCAACCAGTCTCTTGATCAATTTTAGCTGTTAAGGGAAGCAACTCAGAAATAATAATCGGTGCCGGTATATCCATGTCTTGTTCCGATATATAAATTTTCAGCCAAAATTTCTAGTAGCCATAGGAAATGAAGATACAATAATGTATATTTAAGGAATGTTTTTAGCTCTACTGGTCAGAGACCATAGGGGTTATGCGATAGTAATGTGTCCGTCGTCCGTCCGTCTGTCTGTCTGTCTGTCCGTCCGTCTGTAAACAATTTTTCAAAATGCTACTCCTCCTACAGTTTTGATCTGATTTCAATATAACTTGGCACACAAGAAGACTATACTAAGATGCGTAATTCTGTGTATCGGTTTTTGATTTCGATGAACGGTGTTGCCATGGTTACCGAAAATAGAAATTTCTGTGAAATACTTTCAAAATGCTACTCCTCCTACAGTTTTGATCTGATTTCAATATAACTTGGCACACAAGCAGACTATACTAAGATGCATAATTCTGTATATTGGTTTTTGATTTCGATGAACGGTGTTGCCATGGTTACTAAAAATAGAAATTTCTGTGAAATACTTTCAAAATGCTACTCCTCCTACAGTTTTGATCTGATTTCAATATAACTTGGCAGACAAGTAGACTATAATAAGATGCATAATTCTATTTATCGGTTTTTGATTTCAATGAATGGTGTTGCCATGGTTACTAAAAATAGAAATGTCTGTGAAATACTTTCAAAATGCTACCCCTACAGTTTTTGTCTGATTTTAGTATTACTTAGCACACAATTAGACTACACTAAGATACATAATTCTCTGTACCAGTTTCTGATTTCGATGAACAGTGTTGCCATGGTTACTTAAAATAGAAATTTTCTTGAAATACTTTCAAAACGCTACTCCTCCTACACTTTTTGTCTGATTTCAGTATAATGTGGCATACAAGTAGACTACAGAGATACATAATTGGTGTTATTGTTTTTTGATTTTGTTGAATGATGTTGCCATGGTTACTTAAATCAAAATTTCATTAAAATTGTTTTAAAATGCTACTCCTCCTACAGTTTTATTCTGATATAATAATAAATCTTGCCACAAAAGAGACTAAACGAAGGATCATTATTCTATTTATTGCTGTTGCAAAGTTTCAAGTCCAAGTGCTACTTTTATCTTCCTTTATAAATACAACCAGTAGAGCTACAGTCTCATCAGAGACTTCTGGTTAAGTTTTGTGCTAGCGCGCTTCAAGAAATATGCCTACGTGACAAGTCTGTGTGATTTACACACCAATAATTCACACTAAACTTAAGAGGGCTGGGTGGTTGTGGCCATTTTCAGACTATATTGATCTCCTTTAGAAGAAGAGCTCCATATAAAGATATACAAAAATGATCAAATTTTAAAACTAAAATGTATGAAATTTTTCTTTGCCAAATGATAGTTGACAGCTTAAGATATATATCTAAAAAATAAAGTTATATCTGATGGTTAATTTGTTGACCCCCCAGCCTCCTTAAAAACATTCCTTATATTTACATTTTACATGTTTAAATGCACCAAATATATACTCAATGTTTGAATTTCTCGCTGCCCTATATTGTCATATTTTTATTAACGTCTCTGTAGAATCATTGTGACGTCACTTTAGCGCGAGTTTCTCCGTGTATATTTCTACACGTGAGTATACACAAAAATGGTTTTCAAATCAATTTCACGGTTGGCTTAGTAGAAAAACACAGCAAATGTAAATATAATACAAAAACTGTATGAAATAAGTGGGTTTTGGAAAAATATTATGGTGAAAAATTATGTAGGTCCCTTTTATAAACATTTGACATAGGAAGTGCATTGAGAATTGTAAAAACACCGATTTGACAAAATCTGAAAAAGAAGGTTGGATTGGTAGGTTAAATGATCCAGAATATAGCCTGTTTAGTACATTTAAACCTACTCAAGAGTTCTTGAAAAAATTCTGTATGATAACCAGAAACCTTGCAATGTCCTGAAGTTGAGCAATTATCTTCAAATTATGAAATTTATGTCCCCTAGGTCCAGGGTTTAGACTCCAGGGTGGGGCTAAGTTGGTCATTAATTGAAATGACATTACATCCTTGAAATCCATTTTTTTTACTTGTGAATGTCTAACAGCTAGACCAATTGTTTGCATGATTATCGATCTCTACAAATATTTTGATTTTCTTGCCCCTCCGGTCTTGATTGAGGCCCCAGGATTGTGCTCATTTAGCCATCTATTGAAAATTTATTATACAGTCTACTTTTAAAATCTTGTGTATTCGTCTACATTTAACAAGCAACAGCCTACATGCAGACTTGATGCACATGCAAGTACCAAATTTGTGAATTGTGTGTCCTTGGAGCTGAGGCCCCAGGATGGATCTTAGGTGATCACTATATTCAAAAAAAAATTCTACTCTTATAAAGCAACTAGGAACAAGCTTCAAGGAATATAATAATGAACACATGAGTTTTCACTAGATTGTAAAATTCCTGTTTTGTTAGTCCAGAGTTCCAGTTCTTTATGGGGCTTAGTTGATTATATGAAGAGAAACTCTTCGGGATGTGCGATTTTATCGATTTACTGGTATATTGTGATTTTTAATTGTGTGATACTTATCATGATACAGAGACTAAAATACCGGTATTTAGGCACACAGTTATAAATTCCAGAAATTATTCGTTTATTTGTTCAACCTTTCAAATTACAATTACAGGAAGTGTAAAAAATGTTGAAAACTGTAAGAGAAAGGCATCTTAGCATCCAAATTGCTTGATATTATGTAAACAAAAAAAAAAAAATGAAAAAAGTGAAGTTAAGTTTTTCCAGCCTATTTTTCAGGAAAATATGAATATTCATTTAAAATAAATGTAAAATTTGCTTGTAAAAATAATATAATATTATCCTGATATTTTGGGAAAAAATCATGATGTATCACGATACGAAATTTTTGGCGATATCCATCCCTAGAAACTCTTGATACTCAGATGACTCTCAAGGCCCCTGGGCCTCTTGTCTAATGACTGAAGTTAATCTGACGAAGAAGGGGTTACTTTCTAATTTTGATTTTTTTTTTAGTTTATAGAAAATGTCCTTCAATAGAGGGCGAAAAAAGAGGAAGGAGAGTGGACTGAGAAGAATATTTGAGCGTTCAGTGAAAGAGCTTAAGACAGAAGCACACAATGAGGATGAAGAATGGCCATCTCTGCCTACAGTTTCCCAAACTCTGCATTCTGTTCCTGATGTCTTGAAACAGGACAGTAAAAAAACAGATGATATGAGCAATGAGGTGCAATTGGAGGAGCAGAAATCTGTCCCAGAAATGGCCAAAGATATGAAAAGTCCATCTGAAGATGAACCCAAGTCAGATGACCTTCATAAGAAGTGTCAGATTATCAATGAAAATTTAACTTCTTCTTGCACTAATTTACAGCAAAAAGACAATTTCTTAACTTCTTTTACACAAAGAGAACATATTAATTTCCCAGTGATAGAAGAGACGGAAAGTACAAGTGACAACCAGAGTAGCAAAACATTGTCAAAGAACAGTGATAAAAGAGAGAGGGAAAAACCAAAAGGAACTAGAAAGAGTCGACATATGTTAAAGGAAAACACCGAAAGAAGAATGACATCAGAGACAAAGAGCAGTAGAAGCAACCAATTAATGAATGAAAGGCATATTAGTAGCATGACTAGGGCAAGTGAGATTAGAGGCCCAGTAAACAGAGGAAGAGGTTCTGATAGCAGGGGCAAGGGAGAGAGGGAGAGACTTAAGACTGGAGATCAAAGGCTAAATGGAACTAGTAAGAAAAGAAAAGAATCTAAAGTTGTTAGGCCAGAAACTTCCAGATTATCAACAACTGAGAGTGAAGATGACAAATGGCATCATAGAGATAAGCAGGAATGTGGTGTTGTGGAAGATTGGATGAATGACCTCCTTGATGTTCCTAATTTAGATCCAACCAAAATTATAATTCCAAGAGAAAATGTTTTACAGGGTGGTACATTGTATGAAGAACGCTCCCAAAGAATAGAAGGAAAACATAAAACAATTCATGAGAAAAGCAATCAGTTAGAAAGTGTACAGGCATCTGGAAATTCCATGGATGACAGAAGCAATCCTGACAGCTGTAAAGAACATATTTCTGACATAACAGGTGGAATTAGCACTGATGTTAAAAATAGGAATCAGGGTTTTGATTCAGATTTACATTTTGAAGAAGAATGGGAATGTCAAGAAGTACCAAGTGTGACAATGAAATTTGTAGAGGAGGACACATTTTTTTCTTCAGCAAAAACTGACCTAGAATTTACTGAAAGTGTGTTAGAAACTATTGAAGAAGAGGGAGGTACCTTATGCAAAGAGATGAATGCTCAAGGAAAAGACAAACAAATTTATGACTTGTGTAAGACTGAGACAGAAGATGATGATGAACTATTAGGAAATGCCAAGGATAAGCCCATGTTTGGGAAGATAGATCAGACATTGCAGGAAAACAGACAGGGGGAATTGTCTTCACAAACAGAAAGTGAAGATAGCCTGAGTGTAATGTCTAGTAAAAATACACAAGGTGAGGAGAGCATTTTTACTGAAGATAGATATTGTAAGAATATCATTTACATGGAAACAAATAGTATTGGAGGAAAAATCTCCACAAAAGACCAAAATAAGCGATGTGAAGAGGATTGTAACAAGGATTCCAGTGAAAGCCTAGCTTCATCTGTGAGCTCTAAACCAATGGTATCTTCTGTTGAAGATTGGAGTAGTGAGTATCTAGATAGTGAAGATCATTCCAACACTTACCACAAAATTCTGCAGGATAAAATTGCTGCACTAAAGAGCAGGATACCTATGAAAATGAGTACTAGTCTTAAAGGGCAAGAAAGAGAATTTGGGAGTAGAGGTAAACACAGGCAGAGGGATAGTCCCTTTCAGTCTTATCTTAAGACGATTCACTTCGAGGATGGAACAAGCATTGATCAAAATAATAATGCAGACTTTTGTACTATAACTGGTGCAGAATTGAAAGAGTATGTTAATACAGTACAAAAAACAGGAGGGAACAAGACCGGTGCTCAAACTGGAGAAAGTTTCCTTGCAAAGAAAATGGAGGAAGGTCATCATTCTTCAGTATGCACCAAAAGAAGTTCTGGAGTAGAGAATAAGTGGCCCAGTAGACCTCCAGGGTTCATTATCAATCTTCCTTCTCATTCATTGGATGAAACTGAACAAGTCAAATTATCACCAGTTGCGCTGTTCCATGAAAACATCGAAAATACCATGGAAACATTAGGGAAATGTGAAAAGCTACATGGTAGTATTTCTAAGGAGCACAAAGGAGAGAGCAAGGTAGAAGTGTCTAGTTTGTCTGCTACTTTCCATGGCCTGGATTTGGATTCCACTTTTGAGGGAAAAAAGGTTATTAAAGATGCAGAGAATTTGGATGATCTTAAAAATGTCAGAGAAAACTGGGAAAACAGTCTGTATGATATAGATACCATGGATTTGCATGTCTCAGGTAAACAAATATCAGATGTAGCAGTTGTTCCAGATACTAATGTTGAAGGAGAGTTTTGTAAAGAGTCCGTTGTGGAGCATTGTGTCCCAGAAGAACAAGAGACTCTGGATTCCAGCATGGAAAGCTTAAGTTTTCCACATTTCTCCAACAATATTTGTGATTCCCAGAATACACTTAATGGAATACCAACAATATCTGAATATGAGAACAGTGTGAAGGATGAGGACTTGGTATCTCAATTTGAAGACTCTCTGGAGGATATAGGGCAGCAGAGGCCTCCTCAGAGTGTGTTTATTCCTAATGAGGAAACTTCATCCAGCTGCAGCAAAAGCAGCAGAAAAAATTATGAACATTTCCAAAAGGCACCTGCACGACTTGAGGAGAAGAGATCAGAGAATAGAAAGAAAGCATTAGAGAGAAGAAAGGATCCTAGAAATGGATTGAAATGTCATTGCCCTGCAGACTGTGTTCAGTTCTGGATGTGGAGAAGCTGTCTGTGTCAGGATCCATATTTGTACAGCATACAGAGTGCGACTAATGGGCATCCAGCAAAAAACTTGATCTCCTATGGACCATGTAAGTTATTGCTATTGTTACACGTGTGGCCTCTTATCTCTGTTCTTTAATAATATATAAATGAATTATTTTATTCATATGTCTTAGATGTCATGGGAATGATATTATGATATTGTAGTGTCTATATGTTAACTTATATTTATCATTTACTATACTTTTATAATGCAATCCCGAATTTCCTCGATGAAACGAACCCATGTACAATCATCCGTACTATAAACGGAGAAAGATCCTGAAGCAGACTCACCTTAATGTTACCAAGGCATCATTCTTTGACTTTATTTCAACATATGATGTATGCACAACCTTATAATTACTCCTAATCACTACTTTTTGTTCGAGCGTAAACTTTGTGCACTACAACTCAAACATGGCGCCAATCCGTGCGGTACCGTACGTTTTGCGTGTGGTATAATTCGCACCTACCAACTGAAAGGTATAAAACAGACGAACAAACAGCCAAACGGCAGTAGTGTTTAGCTGCTCACCTGGTATGGAGCCACAAGAGCCCATCAGAATGGTAATCATCCCATTATTACATCTTGTGCTACCCATTTAAGGTTGGGTAAGTCTGATGCCATTTCATACCCAGTACTTTTGGGTCCCCATCAATTTCCCAGAGTATAGTTTCATTGGGTAAAGTTTCATTGGGTAAAATACCCATAACAAAGTTCTTAGGTATTATTGGGTTTATATTTGCCCATATTATAATAAATTTATGATTGTTTAATTATTTTAATTTAATTCTAATAAATTTATAGAAAACTTGCAATTTTTCTTTATTGGGTAAATTTCAGAAATAAGAGACCCACAAACAATATTTGTAACGTAACCCATCAAGCGGGTAAAAGAATATCCAAAAACAACAGCTATACCTGAAAACGTTACACTATATATTATTTTCATACATTGTAACGTGTTTTATCTTTGGTTTGTTTTGACATGTCAAAGTATAAAGATGCAGATAAAAGACTTAGATAGACCGATACTTTCTAATAATAGATCGAGGAAATTGGTTACATGTAAAAATGATCTTCATTCACTGGCCTAATTATATGTCATTAAAATCTACCCAAATTCTTTTCCAGTTAATGAGGTTAATCAGCAAATATACTCTTATTGACTGGTACTTTCCAATAAAAGAATTTTTTCTCTAAGTTTTAACAATATTTCTTTAAATAATAGTGTAACAAATTTGCCTTTGTAAAAACAAATGTAGCCCTTTCATTCGGTCAATCCATATATATATCAACTTCACAAATTAGGTTTTCATGAAAAACAGGAATTTTCATTTGATTACGAGCATTACTTATGAGCATCACTCATGTTATTCCTTCTTCATAGAATATAATATGACATTTAACACTTCATATCTTTGAATATACAGACATTTTCAAGGTAAGCTTCATTTTACTTTCATCTGAGTAAATCGATGTCCTAGCATCGTTTTAGATATCTCAAGCCCCTCTAGGGCTTAAATAAAAACATACTGAGGTCATCTCAAGCACAGAAAAGCCATGATTATTCATATTATTATGGAAGCAACTTTAGATAGTGTAGATTCTAGTTTGTTCAAATCATGACCCCCAGGGGTATGGTGGGACTGCAATGTGCAATCATAGTTTTACATAGGATTTTATTGGAAAAAGTCCATAAAACTCCTCTTCTGAAGCACAGCAAAGCTATAATGAATCATATTTTAAATGTGGAAGCATCCTCAAGTCAAGTGGTTTAGATTTAAGTTTGTTGAAATCTGTTAAACCCCAGGGGGTAGAGTGGGGATGCAATAGATGATCATAGTTTACATAGAAATTTATAAGAAAAGATTTGAAAAACATTCTTCTCTGAAGAACAGCAAAGCCATGATTAGTCATTTAACCGGTAAAGGGAAGAATCCTCTGGTATTGTAGATTCAATTTTATTCAAATCATGGCCTTTGTATGTAGGATGGGGCCACAAAAGGCATATCAAAATTTTAAATATGAATACATATATATTATTGTATGTATATACAATTAAAAGTGAAAAATCTGATGAGGAATAGCAGGGCCAAAGTACCTCAGGTAAGCTTTGGATGCTGAATTTGACCTAGATATAATATAATTACAGATGAGGGACCAGGTTCAAGTTTTTGGAGCAGTTTCTTTCTGAAGTGACTATTAACCCTACGCTAACCAACTTTGCACTAAAGACACATTTATTGATGTTATACTTTCATCTAAATTAGTTAAATCTGATTCGTCAAGCAGCATTTGCTAAAAAACACTTACCTGCTGAATAATGAAGCCACGCCTCCAGCATAGCAACAATCGATATTGCCTGACGACGGGTGATATTCCAAAAAATATTTACTGCGCAGAATTTATGCGCACAAGGTTCACTGTAATATGTAATTGTATGAAACATTCAGTATAATATTATAAATACTGCACGTAGTTGAGTGTAACATTGAAAATTTTCACCCCTCAAAAACCATTGTCAACCTTGGCTGACAATGGTTTTCATGGGGTGAAAATTTTCAATGTTATGCTCAACTCGTGCAGTATTTATATAATGCTCACTACCAGAGTTGCTTTGGATGCAGGGTTTGACCTACATTTTCTAGATGAGTGAACAGTTTAAAGTTTTTGGAGCAGGTCAGTGACCAAGAAACTATAAGGCCTACCTGAAGCAAACTTGCATGGATGATGCATCAAGGGATGCATACTAGCGGAGTTGCTTCAGATGCTGGATATGGCCTAATTTTCCAGATGAGTAACCAGGTTAAAAGTTTTTGGAGCAGTTCCATTACCATGTGCATCAAGGGAAGAACACTCTCAAACTTGCTTCAGATGCTGGCGGATTTGACTTACATTTTCTGGATGAGTGACTAGTTTAAAGTTTTTAGATAAGTCCATTCCCAAATAACTGGAACCTCAAAATTTCATAAATGTTGCATCTAGGGATGCAGAATACTAAATTATTAGTTTAGTGTGAGACTTTGCCTTTTTTAAGGACAACATTCCTGAGGTGAGCTCTCTAGTCTATGATGATTACCTATGTTTAAAACTCTAACCTTTGCCATAACTTTTGAACAGTTGGTGCTAAGGCATTCATATTTCACAAGTGTATTCATTGTGACAAGACTTCCTTTGAGTACCAACATTTCTGACTTCCTGACCTTAGAGTTTGGCTAACTTTTAACCATGGCTGTAACTTTTGAACAGTTGGTGCTAAGGCATACTGTTTTACATGTATATTCATTGTGACAAGACTTTTTTTAGGTACCAGGTTTTAGGTGAAATGAAATATATGGAGATAACGAACAGTATTCAAGCTCAAAAGTCCATTAATCAATACAAAATAGGAGCAGAGCAAACACGGACCTCCACACATCAGAGGTGGGATCAGGTGCCATGGAGGAGTGAGCATCCCCTGCCGACCGGTCACACCCGCCGTGTGCTCCTTGTCATGATCGGGAAATAACAGAAAAATCCGTCGACAATTCAGTGTGTAAATAATGGCCTAACAATTAGTGTGAAAAACGTCAGTCAGCATTTGACTCAATGATAAATTCAATCTAATTAAAATTAGATGTTCCGAATCCGCCACCGCTTCTCAAACATCTAACAACATCCCATTCGGGGTCACGTCAGAGCGACCTTTCGATTATGAATAAACATAAAAAATTTGGCCAATCAGATTCAACCTTCTGTATTCAATTCTAAAATTAGTTCCACGGCTACATCTCTATATTATTGATGCTCAGTAGACTGTCTTCCGTTGAATTAAAGTAATTTTGGTATAAATTGAACGTATAGTCCGCCAATCTGGCATTCTTACCTGAATAACGCAAACGAAAATGCACAAACTACTATATATCTCGCACGTCACATTCAGAGCACGGTCTTTACCATGCATATTTTGTTTACTACGAAACCCCTCGGGCGTTTAGGTTTGGCAGTAAAAAAAGAAACGCATCCGAACTATAAGCCACGATTTCGACGACGGCGATTTCATTGGGTAATCGAAAGGTCGCTCTGACGTGACCCCGAATGGGATGTTGTTAGATGTTTGAGAAGCGGTAGCGGATTGGGAACATCTAATTTTAATTAGATTGTGATAAATTGTATTTGCTGACAAGGTCATTGTATCGACCATAGAACTTACAAAATGATGACTTTAAACGAAACAGCTGATATTCTTGTTTCATCAACTTATTTGTCAATAATTTACCTCGTTTTAGAAATTGTACATACGTAGAGGTTTATTGCCAACTTCCTTACCTTAGAGTTTGACTTGTGTCAACCTTGACCATGACTTTTGAAGGGTTGATGCTAGGACTTTCATATTTCACATGTGAATTCCTGGTGACAAGACTTTTCTTTGGGTATCAAATTTTTTGGTCATAAACTTTGACCTTGGGATTTGACTTGTCTTTGAAAAAGTTACCATACAGGAGCATCAATGTTTTTCAAACACATCTTGTTTTAAGAATTAATTGATCATCAGATTTAAACAAATAGGGCATTTTTTAAATTTGCAGATGAAGAAATGAGACCTAGATCTAATGCAGAGTCTTTTACACCAGATGAATCGGGAAAAGTTTTGGAGGAGGATATTAATAGTGGACAAACTTTACAACAGAAAGAAAATGTTATCAGAAGTAGAGACTTGAGCAGCGACAACACACCTTCACCATACATGTCAGGAGAATTAGGAACATTAAGGACTGCAGATATATCCAACAGAAGACAAGGTGAATGTAGTGGTCTTGATCAGAATAACAGCAGTAATGGAGCAGACGACAACGAAAGTCTGGAACTTTCTGATGGAGACTCGAGTGACAGGTGCTCAGTGGACAGTCCAGTCAGTGAAGAAGCAGATGTCTCTGAATGCAGTGCAGAAGGAGAACAAGGTTTAATTATTTTTAGTGGAATAGGATAAGTTTACATTTGAGTTGTTGGGCTTTTCCAGTAAAAAAAATTCTTCCTTATGGAGGACTCGACAATGTTTGAGGCAGTACCCTCTGTAGAATTTGTCTTGTGTTAGTAGAACCTTGAGTAGAATTGATTTTAGACAGGGGCATGGGATAGAAAGAATTTATTTTGAAAATTTTTGGCATTGGTTACATCTTTAGATAGGACTTGTCATAGAAATTTTACATTAATTATACAAAGCTTATTGCAGTGTTTGTCAGTTACTCTCGTCTTGTTACCTGATTATTGTGGCTTCAGAGATCAAAACTTTGTAAAAAGTCTCTCTGGGGGGATTTTCCATAGGTCACAAAGACACCACCTTTATTTTCTTTTATTATATACCCATCAATTTCCCTTTTTTTGATACTGTTAATTTTGCAGAGTATGATCCGATTTTCCAGATCACCACTATGTGGTTTTCTGAATCTGATGAAGTTCTTATTGCATATCAAAAAGTTCCTTGAAAAAAAAAATTCTTTATTTAATGGATAAAGGGTATATATTTGAATCCAAAAGTTTTCTTTCATTAGATTTGCTTATTGTTGAGAAGTATATAATAAATCTATCATTATAACAGTAACTTGATACTAAGAGCTGTATCACATCTCGTTGACAGGTGCAGATCAAATGAGGCGCAGAGCGTCGTTTTAACTGATGATCCGTGCCTGTCAACTCGACATGATACGGCTCTTCGGATCAAAGTACTATTATAATAATGCATATTTATCAAACTCTTATGCTTAATAAGATGCAAATGTACTTAGAGAATATTCAATGTTTTGTAGTTGGATATGGAATTTATTTCACGAATTGGTCAGGCTTTTTTTTTTTTATATTTTCATGAGTGCGAAGCACAGACTGTGCCATCATAGTTAAGAAGTTGATGTATCAAGACATTATAGCTTAGCAATGGGGAGATTGAAAACGTTGAAAACATGGATTTCAACAACATGTTAGCATGGAGAAACTTTGGCAGTTTTTTTCTTTGTGTGGATGGTTTCTTTATTTTATCTTGTAACAGGCCAGGGAGTACTTTTTACAACACTCTTTGTGAATGGAAGGAAAATCAATAATTTGCCATACTTCTGATACTTATTCACACTGTGACAAAATGTCAGTTTTATTTAATTACCGTATATACTCGCCTATAAGTCGGTCCGCCTATAAGTCGGTTGTAATCTTTGAGATTATTTGGAAGAGATTTGCCATTGACCCATATATAAGTCGGTATATCTTTTTGCAAGAACCAGCTGACAATTTCAAATCAATGTTTTAATGATGTTTTAACCTGGTTTTAGTATTTTTTTTTTTTAGAAATGACACCAATATTTAATTCTAAATCATTGAAAAAAAAAAGTAATGCACACTTAAGATAAAAATTAAATTATTGAAATATGTAAATACTAGTACTTTATGCATAATCTTAGAATACAAAAATGATATAATATATCCAAACTTTATTCAACGATAATCGTCGGACACGTTTATAAAATACTTCATGATGCCGTTCAAAATAATGCCAATTTTTTATGACTCGCCTATAATTCGGACATAGAGTTTTTGACCAAAATTTAACTCCCAAAAAACCGACTTAGAGGCAAGTATATACGGGTAATAAATAGAGGATATTCAAAGTTTTGTTGTTGGATATGGAATTTATTTCTTGAGTGGAACAGGATTTTTTTTTATATTTCCATGAGTGCAAACTAAGTTCCATATCCAACTACAAAATACTGAATTTTTTGTTTATTACATTTTTAGCTCACCTGAGCTGAAAGCTCAAGTGAGCTTTTCTGATCACATTTTGTCTGTAGTCCGTCTGTCTGTCCGTCTGTCTGTAAACTTTTCACATTTTCGACTTCGTCTCCAGAACCACTGGGCCAATTTCAACCAAACTTGCCACAAAGCATCCTTGGGTGAAGGGGGTTCAAGTTTGTTTAAATGAAGGACCATGCCCTCTTCCAAGGGGAGATAATTAAGAATTTGTGAAAATTTGGTATCATCTTTTAAAAATCTTCTTCTCAAGAACCATTGAGCCAGAAAAGTTTATACTTATGTGAAACCTTCATTACATAGTGTAGATTCAAGTTTGTTCAAATCATGACCCCCGGGGGTAGGGCGGGGCCACAATGGGGGATCAAAGTTTTACATAGGAATATATAGGGAAAATCTTTAAAAATCTTCTCAAGAACAACAAAGCCACAATTAGTCATATTGATATGGAATCATCCTCAGGTAGTGTAGATTCAAGTTTGTTAAGATCATGACCCCCAGGGGTAGGTTGGGGCCACAATGGGAGATCAAAGTTTTACATAGGAATATATAGGGAAAATCTTTAAAAATCTTCTTCTCAAGAACAACAAAGCCACAATTAGTCATATTGATATGGAATCATCCTCAGGTAGTGTAGATTCAAATTTGTTTAAATCATGACCCCAGGGGGTAGGGTGGGGCTACAATGGAGGATCAAATTTTTACATAGGAATATATCGGAAAATTCTTTAAAAATCTTCTTCTCAAGAACAACAAAGCCACAATTAGTCATATTGATATGGAATCATCCTCAGGTAGTGTAGATTCAAGTTTGTTCAAATCATGACCCCTATCGGTAGGGTGGGGCCACAATGAGGAATCAAAGTTTTATATAGGAATATATAGGAAAAAAATCTTCTTCTCAAGAACAACAGAGTCACAATTAGTCATATTGATATGGAATCATCCTCAGGTTTTGTAGATTCAAGTTTGTTCAAATCATTACCTTAGGGGTAGGGTGGGGCCACAATGGGGGATCAAACTTTTACATAGGAATATATACGGAAAATCTTTAAAAATCTTCTTCTCAAGAACAACAAAGCCACAATTAGTCGTATTGATTTGGAATCATCCTCAGGTAGTGTAGATTCAAATTTGTTCAAATCACGACCCCTGGGGGTAGGGTGGGGCTACAATGGGGGATCAAATTTTTACATAGGAATATATAGGAAAATTCTAAATAAAAATCTTCTTCTCAAGAACAACAAAGCCACAATTAGTCATATTGATATGGAATCATCCCCAAATTTTGTAGATTCAAGCTTGTTCAAGGCATCCTCCAGTAGTAGGGTGGGGCCATAATGGGGTATCAAAGTTTTATAAAAGAACATATACAGGAAATATCTTTAAAAATCTTCTTCATTCTCAAGAACAACAAAGTCATGATCAGTCATATTGATATGGAAGCATCCTCAGGTAGTGTACATTCAAGGTTTTTCAAATCATGAATCCCCCTCCCCCCCAGGGTAGGGTGTTAGACATATTTAAAATTCTGTTTTAAAGAACAGCAAAATCATGATTAGTTATATGAAGATAGAAGCATCCTCAGAAGGTTAATATTCAATTTCATTCAAAACATGGCACCTTGGGGTAGGGTATGCCTAGAACAGGCGATCAAAGCTTTATATATGAATATATAGGAGAAATATAGGAGAAGAAATCTGCTGACGAAGAACAGCAGGGCCATATTGACTCAGGTGAGCGTTGTGGCCCATGGGCCTCTTGTTTTATTTCTCTTTGCCTCTGTCTTTTCTTAACACAGTGTTATAGGTTTTGAAGTCATAGTTGAGCGGTTGAGACGTCATAGCTTAGCAATTGTGAGATTGAAAACATAGATTTAAGTAATATATTTGGGAGGAAATTTACAGTTTTAGTCTCTATCAAGATGGTTTAGTTACTATCTCAATCTTATGACAGGTCAGAAATCATTTTTATTTACTTTGATATCCTTTCACACTGTGAAAGAATATCACTTTTATTCAATAAATAAATCACAGTATTTCATTATTGAAAATGTAATAAATTACAGTATTTCTGTTAAAAAATGTAATAAATTTGGTTATGTAAATGTAAGAAAACATGATCTGCATGTGAGCAGTTTCTGGGGCGGGACGGGCTGTTGACACACAAGTTGATAAAGCAAGGATGTCATCTTGTTTGGAGTGTATAACAAAGAATTGTCTTTGGATTTTTCCATTTGCCCGATCATGGCAATGTAAATTAAATTAGCCACTTAATTATTTGTAGACCTTTTAAACAAGGATACACTATCATCATCCATTACTTTTTCAGAGGACTCTCTACCTTACCAGTACTTGGCTTCCTATCGTCCGGTGGTGAATTACATGGGTTACCCTCCAGGCTACAGCTTCTACCCTACATATCCTGCAGCTTATCCTGGGACACAGGCAGGTCTAGGAAGGAGGTATCCTGGGCCATACCCAGACCTTTATGAACCTTATCCTCCTGCTTTCATGAGTGGCAGATATAGCAGACAGCAATGTGTGGATGGACAAATGTATCCTGATCATCCAGGATATCTGCCAGCAATGTTCTATCCTCAGTTTATGATGGTCAATGGATGGAGGGAAGCGTAAGCTTTTTTTCAGATTTTTGTGTTACAAGATATCTTACCGAGTTTGTTTTAAGACTAATTATACATCAAATTGTATTCTTATCTGTAATTGATTAGAAATACATATACAGTCGAGCTTCATTAATCTAGACACTAATAATCTGGAAGCTTCACCTTCAGGACAAAATTTGTTGGATATTAAATCTATATTTATATCTACCAATTATAAAAATTGCTTTTTAGTCATCTGGATGCTTCAATAACTCAGCCAATGTGCATGGGAACACAAGCATCCAGATTAACTAGGCTCCACTGTTTCTATTTGAAACCGATTTTAATACATGCATCACATTTTCCCTTCAGGAGTTTGCATCATGGTGAACCTCACCTTGGTTTCATTCCTAGATACATATATCCATCATCACATAAAGGTCATGAGAGCTCAATAGGAAGGTGCAGAAGAGAGTCAGAATCTCATGGATCTAGTAAGTCTCTTGTAATGGGTTAAGAGTTTGGGTTAAAGTAGGTTACATTGACCTATTTTATGATGTTAATGGTCATGCATTTTCAAGTAATCATCAAACATTTTCAGTTAATGCATTTTTGAACCTCAAAATGTTTTGATCTAAAAGTAGGTCACAGTGAATATCATGGGTTTTGAAATATATAAGTTTGAATATATTCATATTATGTATTTTGTACCTTCATTCAAGAAGTCTTGTCAGTTAAGTATCTTTAATAAAATGTTTATGCAACCCAAAAGGAGATGAAAATACCTTGATTTTTATATTTTTTCTGTCCAACTTTATAGTGTTTGATACCCAGTTGGCACACCAAAAGTGTAGAATAACCACACTTTGTCAATTTATACATCTTGGTAATTATAGAATGTTTGATTTTTTGCCTGTTCCGCAATTTAACAGAAGAGTATTTCTAGGCCCCAGGGCTTTTTAGCTCACATGAGCTGAAGGCTCAAGTGAGCTTTTCTGATCAAAGAGTGTCCGGCATCCGTCTGTTGTCTTTTGTCTGTAAACTTTTCACATTTTCGACTTCTTCTCTAGAACCACTGGGCCAATTTCAACTAAACTTGCCAAAAAGCATCCTTGGGTAAAGGGGATTTAAATTTGTTCACAGGAAGTGCCAAGCCCTCTTTCCAGGGGAGATAATTAAGAATTTGTGAAAATTTGGTGGCATCTTTTAAAAATCTTCTCAAGAACCACTGGGGAAGAAAAGATGAAACTTACATAAAAGCTTCATTACATACTCTAGATTCAAATTTGTTCATATCATAACCCCTAGGGGTAGGGCAGGGCCACAACAGAGGATAGAAGTTTTACATAGGAATATATAGGGAATGTCTTTAAAAATCTTCTTCTCGAGAGCAGCAAAGTCATGGTTAGTCATATTAATATAGAAGTATCCTCAGGTAGTGTAGATTCAAGTTTGTTCCAATCATGGAATGGACTATCCAAACCAAAGGGTATATAAGGCAAAGCTTTGGGAAAGTCAGGCATTCAGAAGCTAGATGAAGAAGTTGGATGTTGAATCAGCAATAAAGAAGTTGCGGGTAAGAGCAAAATAAAAGTATAATAGTTATAAACACCAGTGGCAAGTACCCTAGGGAATTGATGTTAAGTTCTGGGTGTAGTAAATCTGAGGAAAATTGAGACACCCAGATCTTATCCATCAGTGGGATAGAAACACGGTGTAAGTATAGTACCTTACCCAATCCCTGTCTCTAGATAAGAGAAAGTTTAAGTACTGTGTGATTTACCCTCAGACAGAGCTGTCTTAATATTCATTCCAATCATTAACTCGGACAGAGTAAAAGAAAAACCTAGTATATATCCCTTGTAAGAACCTCATCATACAAGTTACATATAGGAAATACTATATGTGTACTTAAAAAGCGGGCTTCTTATTTTAGTGGCTTTGGCACAGACAATGATGCGCTAATTCATGAATACCGCTAAGAAATCATTTATAAATACAATATATGGCACAGACATGTATAGCATTAATTCATGATTTCACCAACAACTCCATACCCAGTGATTGTGTAATAATTCCAGAATTTTAAGGTATGACCATGCGGAGTTCTCAATTAGTCACTGTTGATATCACGGGACTTTAATTGTGTATATATATGGAGACTCTGCAGTCGTCTACGGTTATTCTTTGGATGCAGCCAAGGAGAGAAGACGAATGAAAGTATACTGGATAAAGTATTTTCAGTTATTAAATCCTCGCCTGTTTTCACAGTTTGAGAGTGAATTTGGAAGGCCATTTAAGGTTTGGCAAACCAGATATAAGGCCTGCCACGAAGAGGTTGTCCTCCAGTGAAGAGGCTAAGTTTGTTCAAATTATGACCCCCAGGGGTTGGGGGCACTACAGAGGGTCAAAGTTTTGCATAAGAATATATAGAAACCATGTAGAAAAAATCTGCTGCTCAAGAACAGCAAATCCATGATTTGTCATATTATTACAGAAGCATCCTCAGGTAGTGTAGATTCAAATTTGTTCAAATTTAGGGTGGGGCTACAATGAGCGATCAGAGTTTTACCTAGGAATATGAGGGAAAAAATCTTTAAAATTCTTCTGTTTAAGAACAGCAAAGCCATGAATAGTAATATTGATGTGGAAGCATCCTGAAGTGGTGTAAATTTAAGTCTCCCCCCCCCCCCCACCGTCTGTTCAATACTGAACTGATTTTTTTCTGCTTCTTTCTAGTAGTGAGTGTGCTCAGGTGAGCGATGTGGCATATGGGCCTCTTCCTTTGATTTACACTCAATTAAATGAAGACAAATTCAATTTCACTATTAACACTCTTTACTACTTTATTAAAGGAACCAAACCTTTCAAAAAATTATCATAGTGGATTGGTCAGGAGCATGTAAAACCTGGTATATATGTAATGTGTTTGTAGATAGTAGAGATGTAGGACATGGTAGCCTAGGAGAAGATGCTGGACATCACCACAATATTCCTGAATGTCATCATAGTATGAAGAAAAAACCTAAAGATGCAGTTGGTAGAGATGTAAGTAAAATTAGCTCCACCCTAAATGAAGAGTCACCAAATAAGAATTTGTATATTCCTCCTCATAAGAGAGTCCCAAACATGCATGGACAGTCTGTAGCCAGGGAAAACAGACCTACAAACAATAGAGACATTAGTCCCCCATCAGTATTCCTGTATCCAGGAGAGACATCTAGAACCTGGAGAGAAGAAAGAAGTCACCTGGATGGTTCAGTAGATAAAGGAAGTAGTGAAGTGTCATATTGGAGAACACAACAGAATAGGATGCTTTCATGTCCCACAACTTGGGAGTGTAATTCCAATGCACAAAATTTAAGTAGATCATTTGCTTCAATGTATTATGAATCACACCAACAGCAAGATGGCCAGGGACGACGTACTCCAACAGAAATGAGTCAGGGTGCTTCAGAGGATGAGCCCTCGGGATGTGATTTATTTTTGGCATCCAGCTCAGAAGATTCAACCCCGACATCTAGGCCCTACAGGTTTGATAATCAAAACCAGAACATTGACAAATATCCTGACACTGTTACATTGGACTGGAAGTCTGCCTTCCTGGAGAGATGTAATATCTATGGTGTGGGCTATATAGATTCACACTGTCACATTGACTTTCTTTTCAACAGGCTTGATTTTAAAGGCAACTGGTCTGATTTTAAAGTGCAGAACATGAAAACATTCCCTTCTAGTTACCTGGGATGTGTAGCAGTTTTCTGTAATCCAAACAGTTTTAAACAAGAGGGTAAGTTTTAAATCTATCTGAGTTGATAGTTGGTTAGAAGACTTCATAAGATGTATTTATTTGATAAAAATTTTGTGCAATTAAAATGCATTTATTTTCATAGGGGGTGATCCAGGATTTGAATTAGCAAAAGGGGGGGGGGGGGGGGGAACTAACTGAATAGGCAGGGTGGCTACCTTGAGGCCCCCAGTGGGTACAGGGCAAACCCCAGGTTGGCCCAGGGGGCAAAGCCCTCAGACCTTCCAGATTCTTTAATATTGACTAAACCCCAACAGAAATAAGTGATTTCACAGCATTTCTTTTTGTCAGAATTAGTAACAGATGTTTTACAGCCTTTGGAAACAAGGCCCAGGATTTAAACCCCCAGAAGCTCTTGCTTTGCAAGAATATAGAAATAGAGCTTTTTATTTAACTCCTTTATCCGATTATTCATTTCTTTTTTAAAAGATGGTACCATGATTTATCTTGAATTTGACAATGTTTTTGTGTGTGTGTGTGTGGGGGAGGGGGGGGGGGGACACCCCTTATATCTGACACTTCATACAATATGTTGTATTTTTCATACATTTTCTTCACCTTTGTTCATATAGGCTTGATAAAGGGTTTGACTTCAGATAATAGTTATGTGATACATGGACCTTTGAGATTTAGAGATACACTTACGGATTGCAATAACTACATTCTGTGATATTTTATAATCTAGGACTCTGGAAGAGTTTAAGTAAAGAGGAAAATGTGTGGTTAACATTTGGTTGTCATCCGAAAAATGCACGTGACTTCACCAAATGGAATTTGGAAGGGCTGAGAAAGTGTCTGGGAAATCACCGGGTAGTGGCATTGGGGGAAATAGGCTTGGATTACTCTGGAGTGTAAGAATTTCTTAATTCTTCGAGAGCCAAGGCAGAAGTAAACTTTTCTGATTTGAAAAGTATCAGTCTTCCTCGTACAGTTAAACTTCTGTATTTCGAACACTGAAATCTTGAATACTATGGATATGTCGAAGTGATTTGGAAGTCCCAACCACTTATTTTTTAAGTATTTTACCCTCAATATCTCAAATCCTCAGATATCTCGAAGTTATTTTTACCATCCCATCAAGTTCAAGATAACAAGGTTTGACTGTATATAGCTCTCCTACCTGTCTTCAATCAGAACAGCAAGTATACAATTAGTCAAATTGAAATGCATATATTGCAAATTTTATTCTTTAAGGGTAGGGACCAATTAAAATAGCAGTTCTCTGTAGTTATTAAAAATTTTTGGCACACTGGTCACCTTTTTATGATAACACAGCATAGGTATCACAGGATGAAATAGCACCATTCATAAAGCTTTTGAGATATCTGGTGATTTGTGATATCCAAGGTAAAATACTTAAAAAAATAAGTGGTTGGGACTTCCAAATAACTTTGACATATCCATGGTATTCAAGATAATTTATCTGTGTTCAAGATATTGATGTTCAACTGTAGAATGTTTATTTTTTAACTTCACAATTTTATTTCACTTTTTCCTATTAAAATGGTATTAAAATTTGTGCATCTTCGATTTCGATTTATTTGGAACATTTAGTATATTGCATGCCCTCGGTATTACAGTATTTTACCATGACAAAATGAACATTGTAAAAACGAGACCCCACTGTGTATGTATATGTATGTATATATATTTACATGTGCAAATGTTTTATTTTATATAACACTATTCAAAGCAACGCGTATCTATATCTGTATAAACATGGGGTCCTCGCGTCATAAACATTTGACGTAATTTCTGTGACGTCATAAAGGGTTGACGCTCAATCAATGGATCAAATACGTGCCGTTGAGTTGAAAAATAAAACATTTCACACGCTAAAGATTATAATCAGGAAAATATAAACTATAAATAAGTCATAAATGTAACTAAAGTAATAATGTATCATTTTTAAACATCTATCGGGATATAAATACGGGTTGGTATGAGATCAAATTTACCATAAAGCCCTTTGGGCTTTATGGAATTTGATCTCGTGACCAACCCGTATTTATATCCCGATAGATGTTTAAAAATGATACATTATTTCTTAAATATCTCTCTCTATCTCTCTCTCTCTCTCTTAATTTGTGGTGTATATATATATATAAATATAAATAATATATATATATATATATATATATATATATATATATATATATATATATATATATATATATATACATTTGCAAATTTTTCTTTTATATAACACTATTCAAAGCAACGGGTATCTATATCAGTATAAACACGGGTTCCTCGCGTCATAAAACGATTGACAGAATTTCTCAGTGACGTCATAAAGGGTCAACGCGCAATAAATAGATCAAACACGTGCAGTTGAGTTTGAAAAAATAAAACATTTCACGCGTTAAAAGTTATAATCAGGCTAATATATAATATGAATAAGTCACAAATGTAAATATAAGTAATAAGGTATCATTTTAAAACTTCTATCGGGATATAAATATTGGTTGGTCACAAGATCAAATTCCATAAAGCCCGAAGGGCTTTATGGTAAATTTGATCTCATACCAACCCGTATCTATATCCCGATAGATAAAAAAAAATGATACCTTATTTCTTAAATATATATATGTATGGTTTCAGATTTGTTGAGACTAAAGAGCTCCAGAAATCAGTATTTAAGAAACAGATTAGAATGGCATTGGACATGAGGAAGCCCCTGGTAATCCACTGTAGGGAGGCAGAAGAGGACTGTTTAGACATCCTGAGACAGGTCAGAATAAGGGTCTTCTCACATCTGGTCAAGTATATAAACAGATATAGCTCTATCTGGATACTGCTTTTTCTGGACATGTGACCTTTCACCCCATGGGTCTCATGTTCCGATAATTGGACATGTGACATTTCACCCCATGGGTCTCCTGTTCCGATGATTGCACTCTGTTTGCCCTTACTATGCCCATTCATCATCGGTAATATTTCATTACTTTGTTTAGTTTGTTCTGCAGTACTGTAATGGTGGATGAAACAATGCCACCTATTTGCTGAAGGACTGCACTGAAATGGTCTATAAAAAAACAAGAGTGTTCTTATTATCAATATCCAGTCAGAATTGTAGTATTATAATCATTTGTATACAATGATGGTGGACATCAAGGGTATCTCTAGCTACAATTAGGGGTGGGACAATACACAGATCTTACGATACGATACGTATCTCGGTACACATAACACGATACGATACGTATCTCGATATTATGATAAATTATAAAACTATAAAAAAAAAAACTTTGTATTTTATTTCATTTTTGTCTTGATATTAAATCTACAAATTATTCTATATCAAATCATATGTGCTTTGAAATTAATACTTGAAGTTCATTAATTTCATTGACTTAAAATTTACAAAAACATTGTTACATGACTGTACATATTGCCAAATGTCTATAAACAAGTTGTTTACAAATAGTTGTGTAGTTCATCAAGTACACTGTCTAAAAATTCATTTAAAAAACATCACATGTACATTAATATTAATTGCTGAAAGTCTGTAACCAAGTTGAGTTTAAAAAAAAATCCACAATTTGTTTCAAAATTTCAAATTCTTGAAATTAGAGAATCCATACATTGTTATGAGCTGTTAGTACCAGATGGACTAATATCAACTGTTGTGGAAACGATACGTTCTGTATATATATAACACGCTTTCCAAACTGAACTTTTCTTGTCCCATCTTCCGAGGATGCTTAAAAGTGAAAATGATTTACCCCTTATCTACACATTATTACTTCTAAAGCGTGTTTTCAATATCAATATCATGTCTTCGCTTCATACAAGCCGCCATTTTCCAAGGACAACTACTTTCATTTTCAATTTTTGGATAGGTCGTTCGTGTATCGTTTCGTACCGATATTTTAATACCTGTATCGTAAACCGTATCTTAGAAGAAAATATCGGTATGTATCGTTGTATCGGTATATCGTCCCACCCCTAGCTACAATAATGTTTATTATCCATGCAGGTGAACATAACATAAGGGAATATGTAATTGGGGATCGGGGTGGTTGTGGGGGGTTGGGGATTGGGTGCAGGGAACCTCCCCCCCCTCCCCCCCTTAAAATTTCTGAACGTATTTTTTTACTTCTAATTTAGACTAAACTATTCATTGAAAGACTGGTTTCCCACTAATGGACCTTAACCCCCACCCCTAATCTCACCCCAACCCTAAAACAAAATTTGAAGTTAAAAGAATTTCACGGGGGCTAATTAAAGATTTTTTTAGCAGTCATGATAGTAGATTCAAAAAATTCCAAATTAATACGACAGGTAATGTTAACTTAATGCTTCTCTCATTGCATTTAGCTAGGACTTCGGAAAATGTAAACAAATAGATGGCATGAACTGCTTAATGAATAATGAGTTTGTTTTGTTTAATTATTGAATCATATAAAAAAACAATTATTGCTGTTTTTTCAGTAAATACGATGATTGAGCCACCTTCGAAGTACAATATTTACCTCGCCCTTTGGGCTCGGTGAATATTGTACTCTTCAGGTGGCTAAATCATTGTATTGACCTCAAAAACAGCAATAAATGTATAACATAGCCCTCTTCAATATATTTCTTTTACTGGTAATCATGTTTTTGGAGTGGATTCCCCCTAGGGCTGCATCAATATATTGATACTTATCGATATTTAAGAATGTATTGTATCGAAAAAAATAACTTCCATTACGTATCGGACAGGCAGATTTTCTCATAATTCTGTGAAAAAGTTGGGAATTTGAATCACCAAAGGTTATATTTTCACTGTTTTGAATTAAAATTGATCAATAATAATATAATCATTAAGGAGATAGCACATCTTGGATAAATATTACAAAATACATATATATAGACAACTTTATTTTAACGTGTTGTTTTTACAGTCATTAAAACTTTGAATTTGAAGTTGTAATTTGTAGAGATAGTGAGACAAGACCTTCGAAATGGGTTATAAAACAATTAGTTTTTTAAAAATTCATGCATTAAATGATTTATAAGACTTTTTTGATAGACTTGTTAAAGAATCCAATGTATCAGATATTGGTTTATAAAATATTGTATCGTATCGTATGGAATTTATTTGCTCAATACTCAGCCCTACCCTCCCCCACCCCCCCCACCCCCACCCCACCCCCAATAAAAAATGGAGAGGGCTACATTATTACAGCTAGGGTATCACACACTACCCAGGTCATTTGGAGACACCCAAATTAATTTTTACAAAGTATTTAAGGAAAAACAGCTAAAGAGTCCATCAAGAGCTGTAGAGCAAAGGTGACTATGATTATCAACTATGCAGATGGATATCTTTTTGTAAACACACTTTGAGAGTTGGGTATATTTTGGTGGAAAAATAACTATTTTTATTAAACAGATGCTAAATTGTTATTGCCCTTACTGCAATGGCACCATGTCTGTTGACAAATATATTTTAGATATTGTATTTTTTATTGACAGATGGTTCCTAGACACTACAAAATCCATTGTCATTGCTTCACTGGAGATTTCACATCTGCCAAACTTTGGCTGAATCACTTCCCCAATCTGTACATAGGCCTTACTCCCCTGGTTACATACAGAACAGCAAAGGGTGCTCGTGATGTCGCCAAGTTCATCCCTCTTAAAAGGTTACTGCTAGAGAGTGATGCACCTTACTTTGTTCCAAGAACTGTAAGTTAATGGTCCAACATTTATAAATGGTTCAGTCATGTTTAAACAGGATAATTTTCTTTTTCAAGGCAAATGTTGTATAGGTTATTGAAGTTATATTATGCAATTATGGACTTGTTCGGAGGTTAGTATGGTTTGTTATTCACCAGAAAAATATCGATATTGATATTTTTCTGGTGAATAACAAACCATATTCACCACTGAAAGAGTAATTGTTTTATTATTTAGTCCAGATTTGAGTAATAAGACATCGAAGGCTGCATGACAACACCATTTTCATTAACAAACTTCTGTTGCAGAAAGATTAAGAATGTCCAAATTACAAGTTATATCTTAATTGTAATTTGGACATTCTTATTTAACATAATCTTTTGAACATTAAGCTTCTTCTCTTGAACTGCTGAACCAATTTCAACCAATTTTGGCATAAAGTGTCAGTTGGCGAAGGGGAACAAAGGTGAATTTCATGGTCCCCCCCAACCCCAACCCCCAGGGCCTAAAACCATCAAAATTAGTGTTATCTTTAAAAATCTTCTTTGCTCCTGGACATCAAGCATTCAAATTGTTAGCATGATTGTAAAAAGCATTAAGCCCTCTACCAAAATTGTGAAATTTATGGCCCCCAGGGTCAGGGGTTCTGGCATTAGGGCAGGGCTCTAATGATCATATAGTACAGGGGGCATTTCTCTCCCCCTGTATATTAAGAAGATAAACTAGGCACCTGCTTATGATAAGCAAGGGTACCTCTTCCAAAACTGTGAAATTTATGGTCCCAGGGTAAGAGATTCTGGCATTAGGGTGGGACTCTAATGATCATATAGTGAAAATGTATAAATTCTTTAAATCTTTTTCTCTCCCCCTGTAAATTTAGAAGATAAATTAAGTGCCTAGTTATGATGAGCAAAGTTGCCTCTTTCAAAATAGTGAAATTTGAAGTCCCAGGGGTTTTCATGTCAGGGCGGGGGTCTAATGATCATATAGTGAGAGTGCATATAAATTCTTTCCAATTGTCTTTTATCCCCTTCTATATTTAGAAGATAAACCAGGTCCCTTGTTATGATAAGCAAGGGTGCTTTTTCCAAGATTGTGAAATTTGTGGCCCCAGGGTTAGGGGTTCTGGGGTTAGGGTGGGGCTCTAAGGCCAAAAAAAATGATCAATAATTTCTCATGCACTGCCTCATCAGATCAAAAACTGCCGCATTGATCAATTTTGACATATTCAAAAGGAAAATAACTCAATTTTCTTTTTTGTCAAGTTGAAAAAGAAAACCGAGTTATTCACCTTTTCATCCATGCTTAAGTATCAGATGAACAATTTATTTCTCGTTAAATATATAGTTTTGTACCCAGCTTTCATGAAAGTGAGGGGACATTAACGTAGGTCGCTGACATCGTTAAAACTGAGTACGCAATTTATATGATTTGGGCGACTTTCTTGTGCACATTTGATTATGACGTCACAGTGAGTAAGTCTTTAATACAACAAACTGAAGTTATCAGAAAACTTTTTTACAATTTTTTTAATATTCGAAAATCAAAAGTGTTAGAAAGCGTTTATTTATCATCACATTGAGACCTCAACAGTATCACGAAAAGATATGGAACAACTAAACAAATGTCAAATGCATGATTATTTTTTTTTCATTTGATGTATTTTGATTAAATGTTTGTTACACTGATAAACCGTCATTATATAAACAACCGCAATTACAGCTGTTATATCAAAAGTTTAAACTTTAATTTTAAAAAGGAAATTTTAAAAATACATGTATATCTATATCACAGTTGAAAAACTACTCAGTTATGAAACATGTAAGGCATAAAACTGACACAGACCTTCCACAAGTAACAGCTTACAATGCTGTTAGCTTCAGTTTTGTCTAATTTGCTTTCCCAGTCAAGCAAGTTGCCCTTTAAATTGAAAAGTCGCTGAAAAAAAAATCTTGGTAGTTCACTGTAGCCTGTTGATAAGGCAAGATAGAATTAATTTTTAGATTCTCATCTCCATTTACCTCTCTCAAAGTGTTTCGTCCAATGGCTTTCTATGGCTTTTTAAAAAAAATTTTCAGAAGTGTTTACTTAGAAAATCAGGGTAAAAGTTTGGGAGGTATCCCCCAATTGTATGCGAAACACCGAGTATAGAATAAAAAAACGGCAAGGAATGCTGTGTAAATGCACCGCATGAATACAGATATGTATAGAGAATTAAGGCAGTGATGTTTAACTAGATTTAGATACATGTATTATCACAGAAAGATTTGAACAAAGTATTGCGATGAAGAAATTAAAGCTCCAAAATTACAACGCCTCTGAGCTAGAGGTACTTGTGTGTTATTTCACCTGATTAAAAAAGATCACAGGTTGACTTCATGAGGAATTCCTGCTAAAGAAAAAAGGGATATTCGGTAGGAATCTTAGGAGGGGCATGCCCCCATAATTTTTTTTAATGTATATAAATTACTTTAGAAAATCGAGCTAATTTACAGTTGTTGTCCCCCTCGATAATATTGCCAGTACATGAAAATATTATACATATTAGAAAACAGAACTAATTTGCTGGGAGGGGGGGGGTAACCCACTTTTTTCTGAGTATAGTATTTGCTACAGTAATTTTTCCTTTAGATGCATGCTGGTTCTCCCCCCCCCCCCCCCCCCCACACACACACACACACACACACTTTTTGTTGCTGTTAGGTCGAGCCTGGCAAATCCAGGATACAAGTGTGTGTACATTACTTGTGACAAGACCTTTCAGATTGTATTATGATATTTGACTTCATGACCTTGATCTTGAAGTTTGATGTAGTTTTCATAAGCTGTAATCTTTGCCATAACTGTTATTAATTCAGTAATGTATGTTTTTTTTTTGTACATTTTGAAAAAAAGAGATAACACCTGCTTAAAAAAAATCTGCCTGCCACATTGAATTTTGAAATTTTTGGCCTGAGAAACTATTAATTAATTTTTTGGGGCCAAATGATCATATAGTGAAAATGTTAAATACTTTTAAAATTGTCTTCTCTGTATATTTAGATGATAAACTAGGTATCTGATTATGATGAGCAAGGGGGCCTTTTCCAAAATTGTGAAATTTGTGGCCCCAGGGTGAGGGGTTCTGGAGTTAGGGTGAGTTTCTTATGATCATATAGTGAAACTGTATAAATTCTTTGAAAATCTTCTTCTCTGGGTATTTAGCAAACAAACTAAGTGGATAGTTGTGATTAGTTAATATGCCTCTTCCAACATTGAGAGAACAAGAGAGATCACTAGTACTGTGAGAGGAAATGCAATTGGTATTCTAATAGTGCTGATTAGAAGCACTTTTGTTTTGTTTAGTCAGAATGGTGATAGTGACAGATGGGGGCAGGTACAGACAAGTAAATGGATGCGCTTCAACTTTTGTTACTAAGTGATAGACTAATTATTTTGTTGTTCTCTGATCATCAGATTTCTCTTGCTTATGGGGAGCATAATTTCGATCATCTATCAGTTTATTTTTGTTTTATTTTATACTTTTATTGATCCTTTACAGTGTTATATTATAGTCAGGTGACCATTCAGGCCCTTGGGCCTCTTGTTAATGATAGATTATTTATTTAAATGATAAAAGAAAATACTGAGCTTTGATTATAGTCAAAATACTTTTTGTATCTCCACCCTCATATGATATTGGATTCTGCAAAATTTTTCATTGAGGTAGTCCGATCCTCAGGTTCATAAAGTCAGCAGTTAAGTAATTGAAAATTCTCACAAAAATATCTCTGAATTCACAAAGTAATGTATATTTACCCATAATATTTCTTCAAAGTTAATCATTATAGTTAATCATGTTATATAGGGAAAATTATCAGATCTCCAATATCTATTCAGGAAAGATGAATAGAAACATCAACTATGCATTTTCTAATTGAAAATTGATCTACAAATATATTTAAGGTTAAAAAACTATAGGTATCCAGGCATTCAGAGAAATTTGCATGTTTTTATGCCCCCGTATCGAAGATTCAGGGGTATATAGTTTTTGCCCTGTCCATCCGTCTGTCTATTTATTCGTTTGTCTGCAAAGACTTTTAACCTTCCCCTTTACTTTTGATTGGTTGGAGCTATGGCTTTCATATTTCACATGTGTATTCCTTGTGACAAGACCTTTCTTTGGGTACCACCATATTTGACCTTTTGACCATGGAGTTTGATCTAGTTTTGCAAAATTTTACCAAACTTTAACCTTGGCCATAACTTTTGAACAATTGGTGCTAGGGCTTTCATACTGTGTAATCCTTGTGACAAGACCTTCCTTCGGATACCAACAACTTTGACCTTTTGACCTTGACCTAGGAGTTTGACCTAATTTTGAAAAACTTTAACCTTAGCCATAACTTTTGAATGGTTGGTGCTAGGGCTTTCATATTTCACAAGTGTAATCCTTATGACAAGACCTTCCTTTGGATACCAATAACTTTGACCTTAACCTTGGAGTTTGACCTACATTTGGAAAACTTTTACCTTGTCTCATAACTTTTGAACGGTTGGTGCTAGGGCTTTCATACTTCACATATGTAATCCTTGTGACAAGACCTGCCTTTGGATGCCAACAGCTTTGACCCTTTGACCTTGGAGTTTGACCTACTTTTGGAAAACATTAACCTGTCTCATACTTTTTGAATGATTGGTGCTTCCACTTTCATATTTCACCTGTGTATTTCTTGGGAGAAGGCCTTTCATTGGGCACCATTAATTTTGACCATTTGACCTTGATGTTTGACATACTTTTAAAAAAACGTTTACCTTTTCCATATCTATTCAATGGTTGCTGTTGGAGCTTTCATATTTCACAGGTATATTCATCAAGACAAGACCTTACTTTGGGTACCAACATATTTGATTTGCATTTGGGAAAGTTTAACTTTTGCTATAAGTTGCCATACAGGGGCAGCAGTGTTTCACAAACACATCTTGTTTTTTTTACGTTGACATTTATATATTTTTCAGTGGTTTCATGGCCAAGAGTTTCTTCTTAAAACTTTTATGACAAAATCTCCAAGAAACTTTTTATGGTAGGGTTCCTTTAACACTAGGTGTTGATAACACATTTTTGTTTTTTAGATTCCAAAGGAGTCCATGAATTATTCTCACCCAGGTCTGTGTGTCACAGTAGCAGAGGAAGTGGCTCGACTCAAAAACATTTCTGTACAAGAAGTTCTTAAAGCCTGCCTAGAGAACACCAGAGACATGTACAACATCTAACTCAACAACTAGTTAACTGTAAATGATAAAAAACAGTCAATAGACAGCAAATTATTAGTATACACTGGATGAATTCATATGAATCTGAATTGTGTTTGTACACCAGATAAAGTGAAATATGTTCTATCATTGTACATGTACATGCTCTTCATTTGTTAGTTTATTAATAAAGTCTAGGTATGTGTTTAAAGAAGTGTTATAGTAAATGGGACAGGTCACTAGATCTTGTGACAGAGATCACTGGTGATTTACTGTTCAGAGAGAAGATTTCAAATTAAGGTCAGAAAAGTTCATTTTCCTTCAAAGAGAAATTTTAAATACGACGTAGCTAGGTCAGCCCTTAAGCAAGAACATTTTTGAAAAATATGGCCTATGAACTTTGTACTTAATATAGTGTGTGTGTAAATTCAAAAAAAAAAATTTAAAAACTAGCCTGGAAGGTTCTGAAAAATGTTCCCAATAGCCACTAATTAATTAATATGATGCAAAATCCTGCATTTCATCAAAAAGTATGTTTCACGGCTTGAACAAAGGGTCTACCGATATCAAATAACCTGATACACTCCCCAAGACCAAGCTTGATTAGGCGACTTTGTCCTGCATAACTATTGGGGCCTTGCTCTGTGGGTGCCCTTTTTTGATCTGTTTGTCCATCAGTTTATTTGTCCAGAGGATGTTTTCTCTCCCCTTGGCCCAGTCAAGCTAAAACTTAAGCAATAGATTGCCCATGGGTAAAGAAAGGGAATGTATTGACCTTCAACAAATTTTCTTGATCAAAGGTCATGGTAAAAAAAACCCCAACCTGTTGTTAAATCCTCTTTCAGAGCATATTTTCTCTCCTCTTTGTTAAGTTGAGCTCATACTTCAGCCATAAAATGCCTTTGTAGAGAGTTTGCGGTCACCCTGAGTCAACTCTCTGTATCAAAAGGTCGAAAAACTTCTGTAAAATCATTGTCCAGAGCATATTTTACCTCCTCTTGTCCTTGTCAGACTCAAACTTTACCTATAGAGTGCCCTTGGGTAGCAGATGTTCAGTGACCTTGAATTAATTTTCTGGATCAATGATCAAGGTCCAAAAACCTCTGTAAAATACATGTACTTGTACACATATTTTCTCTCCCAATTGGACTCCACCATAAAAGTGCCCATAGATAGAGCGTGTTCAGCGTCCTTCAGCCAAGTTTCTAGGTTAGTGGTCAAGATTATAGCCAATCTGTGAAAAAAATTTCTTGAGCATTTTTTCTCCCATTGGCCCCATGTGGCTTAAATTTCACCCAGAGTGTTCTTGGAGAAAGCGTCTCTGATCTTAATGTCCTTTGCTAAAACCAGGCCATTTGAGATGGCCACCATTTCAATTACTAGTCTAGTTAAAACTATCATTGTCAGTGATAGATAATAATTATCACTGTGTCAAACTCACTAACGGTGAAGGTTAGGCTTGAGCTACAAAACAGTCAGTAAAATCTGAAGAATTCGTAAAGAAAATCTATCTCTCTTTGACTGTGTAGGATTTTACACCAAGTTATTGATGCTTTTAAAATTATATCCTGCCAAATAATGCACAGGTCTGTGTCTCTGACTACTAGGTCAGAGATTCTGGAGCATGTACAGATAAGGAATTTTACGGAGTTGTTGCAGATAACCAGACTTTTGTTGATCGATGATTACCCTGTTTCTCTTGTTTTTGAGCAAATGCAACATATCTTCCTCTATCAATTTATTTTTCTTTATTATATAAGTATGAAATTGGCATTCTGTTGATCCTTTAAAAGGTTGTATTATACTCGGGTGACCATTAAGGCCCTTAGGCCTCTTGTTTTGCGTTAGGTACTTTCTAACGTTTTTTAGCTCACCTGAGCTGAAAGCTCAAGTGAGCTTTTCTGATCACCCGTTGTCTGTCCCTCCGTAAACTTTTCACATTTTCAACTTCTTCTCAAGAACCACTGGGCCAATTTTAACCAAACTTGGTACAAAGTATCCATGGGTGAATTCTTAAATTAAATTAAATTTAAATTCTTAAAATAAAGGGCCAAGTCCCCTTACAAGGGGAGATAATCAAGAAAAAGACAAAAATAGGGTGGGGTCATTAAATCTTCTTCTCAAGAACCACTGGGCCAAAAAAAGCTGAAACTTATGTGGAAGCATCCTTGGATAGTGAAGATTCTAAATTGTTCAAATCATGACCCCTGGGTGTAGGGTGGGCCATAATAGGGAATCCAAGTTTTACATTAAAATATATTGGAAAAATCTTTAAAAATCTTCTCAAGAACCACTGGGCCAGGAAAGCTGAAACTTAAGTGGAAGCATCCTGGGGTAGTGTAGATTCTAAATTGTTCAAATCATGACCCCTGGGGGTAGGGCGGGGCCACAATATGGAATCCAAGTTTTACATTGAAATATATAAGAAAAAAACTTTAAAAATCTTCTCAAGAACCACTGGGCCAGAAAAACTGTAACTTATGTGAAAGCATCCTGGGGTAGTGTAGATTCTAAATTGTTTATTTCTTGACCCTCGGGGGTAGGGCAGAGCCACAATAGGGAATCCAAATTTTACATTGAATAAGTAAGAACAATCTTTAAAAATCTTCTTCTCAAGAACCACTGGACCAGAAAAGCTGAAACTTAAGTGGAAGCATCCTGGGGTAGTGTAGATTCTAAATTGTTCAAATCATGACCCCTGGGGGTAGGGCGGGGCCACAATATGGAATCCAAGTTTTACATTGAAATATATAAGAAAAAACTTTAAAAATCTTCTCAAGAACCACTGGGCCAGAAAAACTGTAACTTATGTGAAAGCATCCTGGGGTAGTGTAGATTCTAAATTGTTTATTTCATGACCCTCGAGGGTAGGGCAGAGCCACAATAGAGAAACCAAATTTTACATTGAATAAGTAAGAACAATCTTTAAAAATCTTCTCAAGAACCACTGGACCAGAAAAGCTGAAACTTAAGTGGAAGCATCCTGGGGTAGTGTAGATTCTAAATTGTTCAAATCATGACCCCTGGGGGTAGGGTGAGGCCACAATAGGGAGTCCAAGTTTTACATTGAAATATATATATATGAGAAATCTTTAAAAATCTTCTTCTCAAGAACCACTGGACCAGAAAAGCTGAAACTTAAGTGGAAGCATCCTGGGGTAGTGTAGATTTAAAATTGTTCAAATCATGACCCCCGGGGGTAGGGTGGGGCCACAATAGGTATTACAAGGGAGGAAATCTGGTAAAGAACAGCATGGCCAAAGTTACTCAGGTGAGTGATGTGGCCCATGGGCCTCTTGTTTTTTCCTTGTGATGTGTAATCTTGAGGACAATCAGAATTTCACCAAGAGACAAAACGTACAAGTTGTTTTAGTCTATTTAATTTAAAACCAAATAAGCTGCATTATCCTTGCTCCTGTTCAAGCTGAAATGAAAGTATAAGGATGAAGACATTGTTATATTCTCAAAATGGCAGTGACTTCTGTTTAATGCCTGATTTCTGATATACCTTCACACGCCATATTGGTAACACTTTGAGTTAGGTCTCGCAGAGTATCGTAGTTCTTAGTGGTTAAGAGGTAGTCTGTACCATTGGCGATACCCTTCAGCTCCTCTACATTCATCTCTCCTACGCCAATAGCTATCATGGTGACACCACTTTCTCGTGCCTTGTGGGCTTGGTAGAAGGTCGTGGCTTTGTTCTTGGAGTCGCCGTCGGTAATGACAATGCCTAGTTTCCTAACATTTTCTCGGCTTCCTGAAAAGAAGATGAGAATGACATGGCCGTAGGAAACGGGGGAGGGGGGGGGGGGCGTGCCCCCCAATAATTTTGCCGATATATAGAATACTACAGAAAACATAGCTACTATATGCTTGTGCCCCCTCGATAATAACGTCTGATAACCTTTTTTTTTTCTTTTTTTCTTTTTTTTTTTTTTTTGCTTGTCAAGGAATTTTGGTAGTTGATAGTGCCCCCCAACTGAAAATGTATGGTTGTGCCCCCTCAAAGTGAAATTGCTTCCTACGGGCCTAAATGAAAACACAACATTTTGGATGAATGCAGTAAAGATGGTAGCAAATAAAACTGAAACCTGCCATATTCTGGACTGAAACTGCGCATCCACATATGCTTAATGGCGTCACCAGTGTTGGTACCGCCTGGTTTATAATCAATGTTGTTGATAGCATTCTGCATCTGAACTTTGTTATGGTATCGCTTCAATTCAAAGTTGGTGTGAACTTTGCACTCGTACGTTTCTACCCCCATCTGAACCCCTTTCTTGTTTATGTCAAGGTTGTACGTAACGTCACTGACAAAGTGTTTCAGTTTCTGGAAATTGCTTTGACCAACACTACATGAGGAGTCAAGGAGGAAAACCACATCTGATTTCCCGAGACAAGCTGAAATTTAATTTATGATCATGTTCTAATATTGTGAATAACCTGTAATGCAAGAAATTGACAGGAATTACTGAGTTGGTTTTTCTGTGTTATAGGTACTATACACTACTTACTGTTTGGAGCTGAAATTAAAAAGGAAAGAAGTTTAGTATTGTTTTGAATGAACAAATGAAGGAAAACATGGAATTGAAATAGAAATGTTCATTTATAAGGGTTAAAATCATTACCTGTGCAGACCTGTCTTAGAAGGAGCGGCTGGAGATGAGACAGAGCGCTAAAGGTGTCTACTCTGAAAACATTTTTGTTGGAGGCCACTTTTGTAAGTTCGTCCTCATCCACTTCGTCCCCCACCCCAATGGTAAAGATTTCTACACCCTGCTCCTTCAGCTTGGTAGCTTCCACAAGGGTTTTGTCCTTGTGTGTGGAATGCCCGTCTGTTATCACAATGGCGATTTTTGGAACCTTTTGGCCAGTCCTGGCTCCTATTGGAAGAAATACCTATTACAAACAAGCATTCTGAGAGTATTGCATTAGCAATACTAGTCCCCTACCGGCAAGTGTAATCTGGTTCCCGTTAAAAATTGAAAATGCCATAATTCCGTCAAAAATGAATGAAGCGGGACGAAATGCAAACTTGATCTATAACTAAACAAGGTAAAGTCACATACCAAAAATCAGCTCAATATCTGAAAGCGTTTAGAAGAAAATTGCGGAAAACCCTAAAAATTGAAAAGGCCGTAATTCCGTCAAAAGTCAATGAAGCGAAACAAAATGCAAACTTGATCTGTAACTCATCAAG